GATTGACAAGTCGCAAGTCTCAGCGTGCTACCGTTTGACATGACATTCGTCCCCCAAGCTCCGATGTGTAACCTTGAGGACTACAGGGAAGTGATTCTAAGGCTCATTGAAGGAGCAGCCGGGTCCTCTTCTCCCACTTTTACTCCATACAAGAAAGATCGCACAGCCCGGCTGTGGAATGCAGACAGTGACTTCTGATAAGACATCATGAGTCAGGTTCCTTGGTTATTTGTGTGTTCAAGGAATGGTAATTTATGTTGCCAATGCACGATTTTTGGATCGCAAAACATGAAAGGGACATACAATGTTGACTTATCGAAAGACGTAATGATGCCAATTTGCGGACCACTGTTAACTGTCCTGGTCCCACAATCTAAGGATTTTTGAGGGCGAACAAAGGGTTGCAAGAAATGATAGGGAAGCAACGGGACTTGGAGCATAATTTGTACCCAAACTGCTACCTAAGGGCGAAAACCACATTTAACATGTAGCTACCAGAGTCAATTACAAGCTTCATATCCACCTTTTCACTGAGGAAGAACTATGACAATATACTTACACATTGCAAGCGGGAGCTGTTCCATGCAGTGTGGCGTATCCTCCTGGATGATGAGTTTGTCCATGCTTATGAGAACGGCATTGTGGTTAAGTGCTATGATGGGGTGTATTGGCGTGTTTTCCCTAGGATATTCACGTATTCAGCGGACTATCCAGAGAAGTACATCTACTCTCATCCTCGTCTCTTTTTCAACACTGACTGGGTGTTGATACTTGTAGAGTCCTTATAGCAACCATACGTGATAAAGGGAATCGGCCATGCCCTCGTTGTCTGACTCCAAAGTCAATGTTCAACTGTGTTGGATTTTTGCGTGACGTCTCACAAAGAATGAACCAGCTACGCACATATGTTACCAATAAAGTGGCCAAAGCCCGTGATGCGATATATATGCGTGGTGCTCCCATCAAGGGAGCCTTAGTTGAGAGTATTCTGAAAGATCTTTCATTGGTGCCTACTGTTGTAAGTTTGATGCTTGCTCTCGCAATGTGGAACTGACATTTCTCTAGAATAGCTTTGTAGATCACCTCTCACCATTTGGTTTCAATATTTTTCCCACCCTTGTGGTTGATTTGCTGCATGAATTTGAACTCGGAATATTGAAAGCAGTAATGACACATTTGATGCGGCTACTCTTTGCAGTTGACCCACGGAAGATTGTCATCCTCAATGAAAGGTACGGTGTTCTTTTGGTTCTGATCGATTCTCATCTTTGATGCCTTCGCACACCAGGTTTCGGTTAATACCTTCCTTTGGGAAAGGTTCCATTCGACGGTTCCCCAAGAATGTTTCATCAATGAAACAGCGAGCAGCTCGACATTTTGAAGATATGCTGCAGGTAAGTCTCTATTATCTCACGCACAACTCAGATGTATTCTGACCGATTTATTCATTCCAGTGTGCAATACCAGCTTTTGAGGGGCTTTTTCCCGAAGAGCATGACAACGTCATCAGGGTTCTCCTGTTTCGCATGGCAGAATAGCATGCCCTTGCAAAGATGCGCCTTCATTCTGACGACACTCTGAAATTGCTTGGCCAGTCCCTTCGACGACTGGGAACTCAGCTTCGAAGGTTCAGCAAATTTACTTGCTCAGCCTTTCGCACTATGGAACTTCCGAGTGAGGTGTCTGCACATCACAGGAGACAACATGATGGGTTTGAATCTCAGTCCAGACCAAACGCGGCTGACCGAACAGGACCTCGACCAAAGTCATTCAACCTATTTACGTATAAGTTACATGCTCTCGGTGACTATGTGCAATTGATACGAGCATTTGGCACCACCGATTCATACAGTACCCAACTGGTCAGCACATTTTTCAACTGTGTATATCCGTGAATTATAGCTCATTTTAGACGCAGGGAGAAGTCGCACATCGCCTTATCAAGAAGTTTTACCGAATGACCAACAAACAGGATGTTCCGAAGCAACTGGCAAAACATGAAAGGCGGCACACACATATCAGGCGGCAGCGGCAGGACCTCGAAATGGACTCGGAGGAACCTGTCGAGACATTTCCAGAACTTCATCATCACCTATCGGATTCATGTGTCAATGTCATCAACCTTGCAACATTCCTTCATGACCATTCATCTGATCCGGCAGTCAAAGTCAGAGTTTGTCCCTTGCACACCTCATTTGACAGATACTGATACAGATATATATTAGGACTTCATTCTTAAACTCAAAAACCATATTCTATCTCGCTTGCTGGGTCTCGAATATGATGGCGATGAGCATCTGTTTTCTGATTCCGAGAGGAATGAGCTGCGTTTCATCAATAACCTGTCTCGAGTCCAGCAACCATGTTGTTTTCAAGTCAACTACACTACCTACGATGTTCGGCGTGACCAAGACTCCATGCGACCGGGACATAATTGCATGGTCATGACACTATCGAGGGAAGAGGGCGAGAATGCACACCCTTTCTGGTATGCGCAGGTATTACGTGCCTTTCGCATACAGGTGTTGCATACTGGATCACAAGCTCGAAATCGTTCGTCTCAAAGTGTAGAAGTTCTTTGGGTTCGATGGCTCGGGGTGGATCCTACTTATCGCTGGGGCCTTAAAGAAGCTTGCCTACCTAAAGTCGGATTTGTCCCTGAGACTGATGACAATGCTTTTGGCTTCCTCGACCCGTCACTCGTTATCCGTGGTTGCCATCTCATTCCAGCGTTTTCAGAGGGGCGTTCAAATACTCTCCTCAGACACGGTCCTTCTCTCGCAAGGCTTCAGCATGAAACTGACGACTGGGAGTTCTTTTATGTAAATATGTAAGGAGAAATGGTCCTCATCATGCTACAGCCTACACTCACCTTGCTTTGTAGTTTTGCAGATCGAGATATGTTTGCGTGATTTGCTGGGATTGGTGTTGGACACGAGGTCCAGTACACCTCCTCAGCAATCAAGCAACATTCCAAGAAATATTGGGATGATGCTTTCAGTTGCGGAGACGAATAATCTGACAAGGAAGACGCCATTGAGGATGGAGATGCCGAGGGAGATGTCATTGAGGAAAATAACATGGAGGAAGGCAATGTTGAGGAAGGCAATGTTGAGGAAGATGATGTTGAAGAAGATGACGACGAAAGTGATGTCAGCGAGGATAGTAACAGTAGTACTGAGGATGTTGATGAGCCTGAAGAGTCAGACTCGGATGGGGAGGATGACAGCGATGACGACGACAACCTATACTATAGATTTTAATGCATGGGGAACATTACATTACACAGGCCATTTGCAAATAGCTGTAAGTTGAAGGTACTAGCGGGCGCCGGGAATGAACATACTTAATTTGGACTTTGTGTTACAACTTACAATGGTATTTCTTAGAATATAATACTTCGACGAGAAGGGTAGCTTTTCTCATTGGTGGAATTAGCGATCCACCCTTGTCAGACTATCCAATACTATCTCAACAAGCAAGAACAATGATTCACGTTTGTAGTTTGAGTTTACTTGCAGATAGACTTTGTAGCGCTTGATAATAATAACAAAATTTGGAGCCTGTGTTACAAGGGTATTTCTGAGAGTATAAGACTTCACCGAGAAGGAGAGATTTTCTCGTTAGTGTAATTAATGATCCACCCTTGTCAGACTATCCAATAAAATCTCAACAGCAGGCATGATGATTCAGCTTTGTAGCTTAAGTAAGGCCATATCACAATATGAGGTTTTCAGTGGTGAACAAAAGACAAACTGGAAGCGCTAGCCTTGAAGCTTGAAGCTTGAAGCTGGCAAATTATCAGGAAAGGTCAATTGGCAATGCTGTCATGTTCATTTCCACCATCTCAAAAGCTTAAGTGAGTCCATCTCTACTTTGTGCGAGCAGCCATTAGCGTTTCTTTTTGAACCACAGCTGCTCAAGACGAATATATCGTCAAGCCTTTCTTTTCTCGCACCATCACAGTTATTCTTGGATCACGGTGCACCTCGCATCGTAGCCTACTTACGCTCTTGCGGACCCGACCTGCGTATCTCTCAAACTAATCGATAATATGTGAAGCTGGCCGCCCACTCTCACACCTCCATCAGGGAAAACCTCCCACGGGAATTTTGAAAATGTGACAACAATTCTCGAGAATTATGGCAAACTTTCATCAAATTTTTGTAAAAGCTTGTAAATAGTTGATAAATAGTCACATCCATAACGCAGTCAGTGAATGCACTGAAAAAGATATCTACAGGGCTCTAGTTGAACCTGCCATGAGATATGTAACTAATTACTAGTATATCAAAAATGTAGAGTTCACGCAATGCAGAACGGGGACATATTTAAACAGGTGGGAGGGAGAATTCGGAGGTGTCTGCTGCTGGCTACATAGAGCTCACTCGAAGGGCCTTAGCCTCAGCGACAACAAGTAAATTGAGAAATTGAAAATCGAACCACCAATGATTTAATTACTAATCACAGGGCTCCCACGGTTGATTTCAATGAACTCATTCAAATATTCATGTTTCACTCTGCAACTTACACGAGCCGCGGCAACCACTTGCACACCCTGTCATGTCGTTTTCTTTATGTTTTCATTCTCCCTTATGGTTACTGTTGGGGACTCTAGGTGAGAGGCATCACCACCACAGAGCTAAGTCTCGCTCCGAGCGGGTGTCTGAATTCTGTTGTCACATTCATCTGTGCGTGGTCATTCAAACCAGGTGTCTATGTAGGATTCCTTTCTTTCTCTTCTTTTTGGCAGTCCAACCAGCCTTCCTGATCTCTCCCAGCTACAGGCTCAATTTGGAGCATACACATAGCTCAAAACTGCATTCTGAGGGTGAGTCATGTAGTTGAATCCTGGTTTCACAGCGACCCGCTCATGCTCACTGTCAGAATCGCAAATTCCCTACTCGAGCCGCAGCTCAGGCCAGAGCCGGGCCACTGCATTCTGAGGCGCGCAGGTGAGTCATGTGGTTGATTCCTGGTTCCTCCCTACCCGCCTCCCCATGGTCCACGGCTCTAGTGTGACGACTGAGCAGGACGAACATCCCATGGTCTTGGGCCTCACTGCTAGCCCTATGTTCGGTGGCAATCCTACTGCAGCCTTCCGGTATGGTGCTCAGATTGGAGACTACGAATATTATTGACATGCTTCCAGGAAGTTGGAAGCCAACCTCGACTGCGTTATTCATAGTCCTCGAGCCAATCGGGATGAGCTCTTGACTCATGTCCACTGTCCGATCTTCCGACATGTGTGCTAAGATACACCGCAATACTCTGATCATAACTATACTTCTAAAAATTTATCAGCAGTCGATGCCATTATTGCTACTATGAACATCGGATCCCGAATTCCATGGTCTCAGCTGTGGTTACTGTGGTGCATCTTTTTCTAACTGTTCAAGCACTATCTCACTGTGTTCTACCAGATTTTTTCTTCCCTACTTGATCTGAAGTTGGTTGACTTTGCATCCGCCGAGTTGAAAGCAGCATTTGCGCGAATCGATTTCGATGGGATGAGTAGGGCATTCCTGATAGCACAGGGACTTTGTGTTACACGTTTTGTCTCATTTCCTCATTTTCATATCTTGTGATTTGCGATATTCTAGTATTTAATCACATTATAATCATTTTGTTGTATTCGTGTGGATTTTCATAAATTTTCACCCATCCGTAGAGGGACTTGGAATATTTTAATGTATTTTCAGAAAGTCAGAAAATTTTACAAAATTTTACAAAATCTTCGCGGGAGGTTTTCCCTGATGTCACATATCTCTCTCCAGCCAGATCCATGATCAGGCCGGTGTAGAAACAACAATACAATGAGGAACAAAAGAAGCTCCTGACTGTATCTGTAAAAGTTGTAAGGTCGCACGCTGCCTAGTCTGCGTTACTTGAGAAGCAAGTGCGTTCGACCCTATAGGGGAAGTGAGTGCAGCAAGGATCTAGAAGTGTGCGCTTAAGCGAAGCGCGAGAAAGCGCAGGAGCGCGCAAGGTACAAAGGCGCGGGAACGCGCGCGCGTATTAGCGCGAAGCGCGGGAAAGTGCGCGCGCGTATGCGGAAATGAGAAACTAAGCTTAAGTAGTGATATAAAGCAAGATAAGAGATATAAGAGTGCAAAATGTAAAGGAATAGCTTTCTACTATATTCTGCTAAGTAGTAAGTGGGTAGTAACTAGTAAGTGAAAAGTAGGAAAAGTAGGTTCCGTGTAGTATGTACTGCTGGCGCTTATATAGCGCGCCTAAGCGCGGTCAAGCGGAGCCGAAGCGCTACCGAGTAGGTATGTAAATATATATATGAGTGAGAATGCATGATAAAAATAAAGGTGGAACTATGCTAATAAAGGAAATGGAAATATACGCACTAGGGAGCTTGGTGGACAGTGGATGGATGCATCTGGATGGCTGGCGCTATAGGGCGCGCAAGCGCGGGAACGCGCGCGCGCGTATACATCGTGAAGCGCGGGAATGGTGCGCGCATGGCGCGCGTTGCGCGGGAAAGCTGCGCGTCATATAGGAATCACTGTGGATGGTACACAGAGTGATGCTGCGAGTTGGTGCTGTATACTCCCTAGTGTAAAGCGCCATATCACACTATGAGATGCACGAGTCTCTACATCTCCCAGGGACTTTGAATTCTGAGTGTCCCCACTCAGCGCGCGTGTGGTGAGGATTTTGCGTGATAGTATGCGAGTGCGATGCCTGTATGATGCTTGGGTTGTTGGGTGATGAATGCGCGAGCATAGGAATTATCGCGTGGATGTGCGTGAAGCGCAGGAAGTTGCGCGCATGGTACGCGCGAGGCGCGAGAATGTGCGCGCGCTATGCGTGAAGGCGCGGGAATGAAGCATAGCATGGTGGGTTGCGAGGGTGACTCTGGTGTGAATAGTGCGCCATGGGTGTGGGGTGATGATGCAAGGGTGATATGGATGTGGCATGCGAAGCATGAGCGAGACGCGCATGTACAGCGTGAAGCGCGGGAAAGCGCGCGCGCACAAGGCGCAAGAAAGCGCGTGAGTGTCGCGTGTGTTGTATTGTGCATATGATGCGAAGTGGTGCGGTCCAAGAGCGATCCAATCCAAGTCCAAACCAAGTCCTACTAGGCGCGCTAAATATTAGGTGGTAAGGTTTGAACAGTGTGAGTAAAACTATATGTGAAAATGCGAAGGAAAAAATGGTAAACTTTGCGGATGTCCTATCCGACTTGTCTTCTTCGTGCGGCTGTCGACATCTACACCTTCCTATGAGCGAGGCGCAGGAAGCGCGCATGTGTGCGCGCATGAGGCGTATGGGCGCGTGAATATTGCGCGCGTATGTGCGCGTGAGCGTGGGAAGACTGCGCGCATATGTGCGCATTCTAAGGTAAAAAGGAGCATGGTGCCGCGTCATGCATGCGAAGAGAAAATATACTATTGAGCTAGGCGGGCACGTTCTATGATTGTTTTTCTTCTATGTTCTTCTAAGTGATTCCTATATGCATATATATCAGCGAGTTATTAGTTCTTTGGATGGCGTTATAATGAGGGAAAATAAAATGAAAGAGCGCTGGATGAAACCCAGGGTAAAACGAATGGTATCCTATGAAACAGCGATGCTATATGTTGTTCTTTCATGCGCGGCTGAGGCGCTTGATCCTCCTCCTTGAGCGCGTGCGAGTGCGCGTGACTAGCGCACTTCGCGTCTCTTGCGAGCTGACGCTTTACCCAAGGTAGGGTTGGAATGAGCGAGGCTGGCGCGCTTGGGGGGGGCTTGTAACTGGCAGAATGAATTCCTGCACAACGCGCTGCAGGTTGAAGGCGCGCCAATGGGAGGCGCTGCAAGGGGTGTAGGGGCGCCCTACAAGCTGATAGGATGTGCGCGATGTGCGCGCCTTGGTGCGATTTCGTGCGAATTTAATTATATTGGCCGAACACGTGAGGAACGGCCATTTCTCTGCAAATGCATTAGCGAGAGACATGTATAGTGAAGAATTAGGCGCAAATGTTGCGCCAATGGGCTGTAAGGGTGGTATATCAAGGCGCAATAGGCGCATAGGTGAAGGAGAATAGTGCGCATCAAGGCGCGCAGGAATGAAATTGACATGGTGAGCAAAAGCGCGCAGAATGTGAATAAATGTGGGAAGTGCAAAGTTAAAGATGATGATAGGGGAGTTAGGCGCATATGTATGTGTCAGGCGCGCGCCTAAGTCGCGCCTGGATGGCTGATTGAAATATACTTTGTGTTGAATGATAGAAATGCGGTTTAGAAGGGGAGAAGCGATAGAAATGCGGTAGCGTGAAAACTCTGCTAAAATTATGAGTGCGCGAGGCGCGGGAACGCGCGCGCATATTGCGCGATGCGCGTGATCATGGCGCATGAATAAGGGGTGGTGCAAAGATGAAGTTACAGTGATTGGAAGCATCATATAGCTCCTTAAGAGCTTTAAACATGAAAGAGACAGAAAACGCGAAACAAGATGAGGAAAAATATACAATGCCTCTAGGCGCGCGCATTGCGCGTCCTCAGGCGCAATATGGTGCGCCTGAGTTGCGCCAGGGTCGCCTGAGACATGCTCTGCTTGGTGGTTGTGCAGCGTGATGCACGGATGTTTTACCGGTGCGCGATAGTCACTGGAAGCAAAAAGCGCGACATGCGCGCAATCGTTAGTGACAATTGGAGTTACCAGAGGCAAACTCTGGTTGATGCAAGATGCAACTTGAGCCTCTGATGCGGTAGGAGGCTCCTCTATAGGCGCGCTAAGGTGCAATAGATGTTTAGGGTCATCCCTGACCTCTAATGATGCGAGCAGTGATGGTGATGGTGCGATTGGCGAGGTTTCTTCCTTAAGCGATGCGATAGCGAGGGGCGAGCGTGTTTCTAGCGGTGCATTAGTGTGCAATGGATGTTTAGAGTCATCCCTGACTTCTGGCGAGGTGATGGCGATAGGCGCGCGCGATGCGATAGCGATAGGCACGCATGTTTCAACTGGCGCGTTAGTGTGCAATAGATGTTTAGAGTCATCCCTGACTAGCGATGCGATTGGTGATGATGGAGATTGCGAAGGAGATGATGCTGATGGTGAAGGTGAAGAGGCGCCTGCGGTGCGCTTCTGGTTGCGCTTCGCGAGCGCGCGCGTGAGTTCGTGATCTAAAGCGGTGCGTTCTGGTATAGCTTTGCATGCTGGCGCAGTTGATGGTTGAGGTGCGCGTAAATCGTGCGAAGGCGCGGGAAAGGCGCGCGTGCGAGGCGCGAGAATTGGAACTGGTGGCCTTTTGTTAAGTGCAACTTCCGAGGGTGCGCAATAGAAGAGTCCATCTGTCGCATTAGCGCTAATGGTCGTATCCTGTGTTGCGCGGCTTTGCACTGGTGTGCTTGGCGCTACCACAGGCATGCTAACTGGTGCGCTTACTGGTGCGCTTGGCGCGGGAAAAGCGCGCGCAGGTAGTAGGAACTGCGCAGCTGCAAAGACGTCCATGAATGGGTATGGGTCGTATGGATGGTGGTCGGGGAACTTGATCATAAGGCGTAAGCGGATTTGCGCCTGAGCATCGCTAGGGATTCCTTCCATGAATAAGCGGTCGCGTTCGGCCTTTCCAATACGGTCTTCATCCATGAGTGGCTGCATAATCTTCCTGAATGCGCGCAGGTAATTGCTGAGTTCTGTGCAAGAGGGCATTGGTTTGTTAGTGTAATCGCGCGCGATGGCGCGCAAGTCCGCGAGCGCATAGCGTCTTTTACCATCCCATCCAGGATACATTACCTTTACCTCATCTAAGAAGGCGTCGTAATCGCTTACTTGCACCTCAGGCATTCCGCCCCATAGTTCTCGATCGTCGCGCTCAAGGTAGCGGATAATACCTTTGATGCGGTCAAGTCCTTGGAGTCCTGCTTCATCAGCGAGCTGCTCATGTGTGTCAATGAATTCAGCGAGGTTGTCTGTAGTGCTGTTGAACTTGGGCGCATTTGCGGTGCCGCGGATGGGCATTCTATAAGGCATTGAGGCGTGAAAAGGCGCAGGCGCGCGCGTGAGGCGCAGAGGCGTGGGAACTATTGTGTGCGCGCAAGGCGCGAGAGTGTGTGACTATACAATGGTTAGCTTCTGAATTTGCAAAGAGATTGACCTTATATGTGCGAATTGCGCTAAGTGCAAAGGTGCGCTCGCAAGGCGCACAGGGGTGGGAAAGCGCGCGCGCAAGGCGCGAGAATGCGTGACTAGAAACTGGTTAGCTTGTGAAAATGCAAAGAGATTGACCTGTATGTGTTAAGATGCGCAAAACTAGAT